GATTTCACCTGTAGAAGTTGTTATATAAAACGTTGGTTACTTTATTAATGTCAATGCGTTTCTTTGATTAAGTAAAGTAATTTTAGTGGTTTTTTCGTTTCCTCCGTCGCGATTACAAACTAGATTGGTGACTAATGATTTCAGTAGGATTTTGAAAAGTAAGAGCCTTTTTGTTGACTTCAGTTTGTAAATTTTGTGATAATCAGTCTAACCACACCAATTAGGTATCTCAAGTAAGCAATGAGTTCTTCACCGTCGTTGGAGATTTTAGGTACATATCTTTGAAACTCTATTTCTGTATATTCTAGGTTTTTTGTTCAATGTCTCTGATAAAGTCACTTTTTTTTTTTTTTGATTTGCAGTTAGAGATGCTGAAGGTTTTTGTGTGTGGAATGGCCCTCCATTCAGCAATGGTCAACCCACTTTAAAGCTTGAACGAGTTTCATGCTCCAACACAAAGTTTAGTGCTGATGGATCAAAGATTATGGCGATGAAATCTGATGGAATCATTAGTATTTATGATTCCACCAGCTTGAAAGAAGTGCGGTCGTTCACGATAGCAAATGTTACGGCTGCTGAGCTATCTCCATCTGGGACTTATCTTCAGACCTTTCAGAAACCTTCTACTCCGCAAGAGAAGAACGTCTCCCTTTGGAAAACTGAGACAGGAGATCTAGCACACAGTCATTACCAAAAATCTATTACTAAAACCACATGGTAAGGAGGTCTTAGTGCAGATTACTAGAAGTGATTACATATGTGATGCGTGGAAATAGATAGTCGTTGTGCATGTTATACTACTGTTATGATAGTGGGTGTTTATGTGGTTGCTATGTAATGTAGGCCATCCATTCGCTTCTGTCCTGATGAATCTTCCGCGTGCCGGTTGGCTACAAATGAGGTCCAATTCTTTGACCCGAAAGATTTCTCAAAAGGAATAACATCCCGGATCAGAGTTCCTGGGGTTGCTGCATTTGAGCTTTCTAAAACGCCAGCTTCCCATGTTGCTGTGTTTGTTCCAGAATCAAAGGTGCTTCTCATTGCTTGGGCTATTGCAGTCTGCGTTTTAGTTGTATAAGACACATCTTTCCTTTGATATGTAAACTCTGTTAATGTCTGAAAATTTTATGTATTCTGAACTCTGTTAATGTCCATCATGTGTATAGCTGTTTCCAAGCAACTGACATGTTAATTCTTACATGTATAGGGGTGTCCAGGCAGTGTCCAGATATTTGGATGTGGGCAAGATTCACAGAGTCAGCCAATTGCTCGACGTAGCTTTTTCCGGTGTTCCTCTGTGCAATTTAATTGGAATCATGGTTCCACTGGTCTCCTAGTGGTTGTACAAGCAGACGTTGACAAGACCAATCAGAGTTATTATGGGGAAACAAAGCTAAACTACCTTACAATAGATGGCTCACATGAAGGCCTCGTTTCATTACGTACGTCCTAAGCTTTATCTGTCTGCTCTTTGTGATTTTTGAAAGTACTGACTCTCTGGTACTTCAACAGGTAAAGAAGGACCAGTTCATGATGTTCAGTGGTCTTTCTCGGGTTCAGAGTTTGCAGTTGTATATGGATGTATCCTTTTTCCATCAGCTATAGAAACTTATATGCATGATAATTGAGGATTAATGTGTTCTTGTGAATGTTATTATCAATTGACATATTAATATCCTTGTGTTTTTGTAAAGAGATTATTTTGTTTTGCCTCTACAACGTTCCTTCTGGTATTTGTTTCTTCAAACTTTGTTTTTCCTTAAGTGTGACATCAGTTATGCCTGCTTGTGTGACAATTTTTGACAAGAAATGCAAACCCTTGATGGAACTTGGCGAAGGTCCTTATAACACTCTTCGATGGAACCCAAAAGGGAGACGTATGATTCTCTTCTCCATCCCTG